CCAACCTGGAGGGAACGAGCCACGCCTGACGGGTCCGCAGCTGTACCCTCAGAGCTAAGAAGGATGCTGGCACACAGTAGGTGCTCAGTAACAATACTGGATGGCAAGAAAAGCAACGAAAGAGGGAGGAGAGGAAGCCCCAGGGCGAGCAAGGGCACTGGCGCTCTCACAAGTCAGAAGGGGATGTAGCTGCTAATCTCTACGCTTCTTCAACTGACAGGAGGACACATCTCAGCCCCAGTTTTCTCTCAGGAGTCAGAACACGCACCTCCAGGCCCTGACCCCTAATTAAAGAGAAAGGTCCACATCATTTGTCCTCCTTGGTCCTGTCTTTTAGGGACTAAGCGAATTCTTCCCATTACCTCCCTCCCCCGACATCCCTCAAAGCCGATCCGTCTGGCCAGGGGTGGGTGCCATTCTCCGGGCTGCCCCCATTCACTGGGCATGTTCAGGGTGGCCGAAAGCATGGAGGGAAGAACATAGCTGAGGCCAGCCCAACAGCCAGCTCCCGTATCTTGTTGGTTGGAAGGCTGCCCCCGAGCTTCTGGAACCTGGTTTGCCCTGGTTTGCCCATGTTCATGAGTGGCCAAAGGGGCCTGGGAATTAAAGTCCCTCTGGGTATAGTTCGTGACCAATATCTGATGGGCGTGTGGGGATGCATACTAACCGGGCCCCTGGGTGGGAATGACTCTAATGTGTGTGTTTTATGCATTTTACAGGGCCCCCCAACCTAAAGGTTCAAGCTCACAATTGCCCACCCTGGTAGCTGGCTTCAGGGGGCACCTCGAGTTGGCCAACTTCCCTTACCTGATACACTCCTCCCCTGCTGTCCTGCACCTCAGATCAACCCCAAGCCCTCAATCCTCATCTCAGGGTCTCGTGGTTGGCCCTTCTCAAAGGTGCCCAGAACACTACTGGTGGCAAAACAGGGGAGAGTTGGTACCAATAGGCACTGGGGGCCCTGGCAAGGGTGCCCTCCAGGAACTTCAAGGGTCCCAGCCCTCTTTCCCCACTCACGAGGTCTTGGCATGCCCTGGGCATTCAGAAAACCAGGCTCGCGCAGAGCTCTGGCTGGCCCCACAGAACAGCCGGGCCCGGGCTTGGCTCCCATAAATCAATGCCTTGTGGCTCCACGAAAGGAATAGCTCATAATTTGCGAAGTTCAAAGACCATTATTTTCTGTTGATCTTTCCTCATCCAGTACTGATTCCCCAAAACAATACCCTGGAGTTTAGTGCTGAGCAGCTGGAAATGGTCTCCTGTCTGCACACCCAGATAAATATGGGTGACCTTCCTCCATGACAGATTGGTGTCGATGGCATATCCAGGTACACTGGAACATGAAAATGATGCTTGGTTTGTTGGGAGATGAATGTTCCTTCACACAAACTGCATGTCTCTTTGCCTTACCTTCCCTAAAGGGTACGCTGCAGGAATAATAAGAATCATTGCAGCATTAACGATACTCTAGCATTTCTTACCCATTTGTTATGTTGCAAGTGCTGAGTGAAGCACAGTGTCCCATTTTATCAGTGCACACGCTTCTCTAGGGTAGGTACTATTTATTACGCACCCACCCCATCTACAGACAAGGTGACGGAGGCTTCTAGAAGGTTCAGGAAGCTGCCCAAGGTCTCACCTGGCTAAGGAGCTGGGGGGAGTATCCCATGAGCTCTGGGCCACAGGGCCATGCTCAGGACCAGTGACACAATTTTGGGGGGAGGGGCTGGGTACAAAAGGAAAATGCAAAGGGGACCCTTGTCCAACACCTACTAATAATTTTAAGGTGGTGACAGCAGAGCCTGAGCGTGGGGCCCTGAGGCCATGCCGGTCACACCCCACAAGCTGGCCCTGATGACCTGAACTCAGAAGAAAGCAACGTGAGTGACAACATGGCCCACGGGCAGCACGGTTTAACCCTAGAGACTGAGTAAGAGCACACGTTACACCAAAAGGGATTCCGTGAGGTCCACGTTTGGTCAGAAGAGCTCGTTACTTTCCATCGGGAGCTATATCAGTTCCTCTGATAGAGCAAATACCTCCCCCCTGCTGGGACTGCAAAGGGCTCATGGTCAAGAATGTGAGGGACGGGGTTGGGGGGGGGGGGTCATGTCCAAGTCAAATGTGGGAAAGAGCCTGTGTTTCAGGCCAGACACACGGACACAGATTCTGGCTCACCAGCCAGCCATGTGACTTTGGACCTGAGATTCATTTTTTTCAGATGTGTGATGGCGAGAGTGGTATCCACCCCTCAGGGTAGAAAACGGGGTAGTGGAGGAACTGCTAGAATGTCATAGGGGGAACAGTAAGTGCTCAACCCAATGCTATGACAGTGTGATGGCCGTTCTCACCATGAAGTTTGTGGGACACTTGAAAGAGCTCATGGGGGGCGCCTGGGTGGCACAGTCGGTTAAGCGTCCGGCTTCAGCCAGGTCACGATCTTAGGTCCGTGAGTTAGAACTTACGTCCAGGCTCTGGGCTGACTCAGAGCCTGGAGCCTGTTCAATTCTGTCTCCCTCTCTCTCTGCCCCTCGCCCGTTCATGCTCTGTCTCTCTCTGTCCCAAAAATAAATAAACATTGAAAGAGCTCATGGTTTGAAGGTCGGGGAGACAGACTGAGCCCCGAACACTGGCTCCCATCTATCATTTATGTGAATACGGCAAAGTCACTCAACTCATTCCAGGGTCAGCATCCCCTTCTGTACAACCCATCTGCCATGGGGTCTACGACACACAGGATTCCACCAAGCACAAAGGGGCAGGGCATTACTGAAATGAGACAGGCCATCATCTCTACAGCCTGTCAGGGTTCATGGTCAGAACATGTAAGTGGTTCCTTTCCCAGATTCCCACCGTACTCAGGGGGGGCTTTAGGGGCCATCCTGCCTGAGCTCTCTTGGGAGGTGCTGAGCCATCTAAATGATTTTTCCTCTCGAAGTTTTCCACCACGTCTCCCCACTCTTGACCCCAAATTTGACTGACTCTATTTCAACTCCTGCTTTCTAGTCAAACCCAGAGGGGGCTGAAAAAGAAAAACAATGATTCAGGCCAAATTCTGCACAGCTGGAAGAAGTCACATAGATCTCCGAGTCTTTATGTGTTTTTAGAGGATAATCCCAAACAGTAGTAGAGGTTGGAAGTGCTTTATGTTTTGCTTGGAGATCCGTCCATCCTAACCAAATTGCTTTGTGCTTTAAGAAATTCAGTGTACGTAAAAGATTCCATTTTTCTTTGAAAATATGACATGTATATAAAGCAATAAAACTTGAAATTCTTCCTGAAACTTTAAGGAAGGGCACAGCGGGAGGAAAATTGGACGGCGTCTAATCATATACACACATAATATACAAAGACACGCGCACAGCCGCCTCCGACAGAAGCGCTGTCATTTACATTTAGAACACTTTCCAGGACCGGCTCAAATTCCAGTCGCTCACAGACGGAAACGGGGAATCGTTTTCCTGCTCTGCTCAAACTCTAACCTCTTTAACAGCTTTCCCTATCAGTTCCCTTAACTCGACCTGCACATCGGCTTGTTTAAGAGATCTGTGAACGTTAAACCCAAATCCCAGGCTCTCTCTTACAAGAGGCCACCCTTCCATTAAAAGGAGCCTACGAGGGTGTCTGGGTGGCTCAGGCGGTTAAGCGTCAGGCTCTTCGTTTAGGTTTTGGTCATGATCTCATGGTTTGTGGGATCGAGCCCTGCGTTGGGCTCTGTGCTGACAGTGCAGAGCCTGCTTGGGATCTCTCGCTCTCTCTTAAAAATCAATCAATAAATAAGCAACAAAAAAAGAAGAGAAGAGGAGAGGTGTTACTGGAAAGGTCTGCCTGAAAATGATCTGACCCACCTCCACCATCGTTCCAGGCCTGTTATTACCCTCCTGCCTCGTGGGCTCCCCCAAATGCCCTCTAGCTCCTTTTTATACACTGCATTCAAGTCGCAGGAGGGGAGCTCGGCTCCTGCCCCTGGGGAGCAGATAAAGTGCCCAGAGCTGGGGAGACAGGTTTAGGCGCCTTGCATACAATGACTCAGGGGTAGTCTAGGCAGGTTACCATGACGACGCTTGCAGAGCCTCCACTGTCTACCAGTTACTGATAACATCCCATCAAGTCAGTGAAGGGGAAAAACAGAACCCGTGGAAGCAATGCTGGGGCTCTTGTCTCCCGTCTGCCCCACTGAATCACTTCTAGGGGCACCATCCAGACACAGCCACAGACACAGTCTTCGTATGGTATGTACTCATTCCGGTGAATTTTAAGACTTACAATCAAAGTCTAGTCTCGTAATAGGGGCTTTTCGACTTTGCTCTCGACTTTCTCAAGCATCCTACTCAGCAGTGACTTCTGCTGCTGGTCACAGAATGCATTTATTCGTATCTCTTGTGCCAAAAAAAGGGAGCTCTAAATTCTAACACCTTCCCTGGAAGGTTAAGTGTGAAAAAAGATAACAGGAGCTCTGTAGTAACCCTGTGATTTCCATAACGTAGGTGCCTGTATTTCCAGAGAGAAATAAAATGTCTTGCCTTTGGCCCTGTGACTGAGGCCACAAGGTTTCTCCATGACCCTTGTGTAAGGAAAAGGAGGGGGGAAAAAAAAGTCGTACCTGTTTTTTCCAAAATGGTTCTTATTAAAAGACAATTACGAAAAGGAATGACTGAGGAGCCTGGGGTGGGGACCTTAATTTTCTTCAAAGGCCTGCCATCCCACAGAGTTCAACCTTGGGCCGTCACAAGGGTGAGCTAGATCTATTCACACAGCCTTGAAAGATCCTTGGAAGGTCGCTTTCAGAGACGAGGAGAGAGATTTTCACAGCCTGCAACACCCCAGGCATGTTCTGAGTTCCAGATTTCCAGGGCTTGCTTCCACCCAGGGAAATAACTGGGCAGTGCTGATGTATATCACAAGGCGGAGCAGGGAGAAAATAGTCTCTAGCATCCCCAAAGGTCACATAGTAGCCCACTTCCCAAGCCAGTATGCTAATGGAAGCCAATGTAACATACCTGTCGGTGATCCTTCCATGACATGGCCAATGTAGGGGCCCTCCCGAAAGATCGGTCTGTTGTCATTCTGGTCAATCACGATGACTTCCAGAGGAACCGGCCCCTCGAGAGTTTTGCCATTGACATCAGTGGTCTCCACAAAGAGCTATTGGAGCAAAGAAATTGGGGGAGAGAGAAGGCGTTAATTCATTATGAAAATTGAAGTCAGGTTCTCTGGAGAAAGTAGGTTATGCCAGCAATTTTAGGAGCCCTTGGCAATATTCAAGCTTCCGTCTCAATGGATAGTCACTGGAACTAGAATAGAACCGCAACATTATAGAATAAACGACAAATTTCAGTTCGTATTAGGTTCCCCCCTGGGAAGTTCACAATTAATTCATCAAATCTGCAAAGGAAGTCCAAAAAAGAAAAAGAAAAGAGAAAACACTCACAATCAGCCATAGCTGAGAAAATGTGCTTACAATGTTTCTGTTTTTTTCCCCAACGTCATTATGCTTAAAAGGAACGTTATGCTAATAAAAATAATTGACTAAGCAGTTATGAACAGAGTACATTAAGAAATAACTGAAAGTGTTTATGACAATGTTTAGCAGAAATTCAGGTCAGTAAATATTTAGAGAGGGCCTTCCCAAGGCAAGGAAGGCATTTGCACGGGTCCCGAACAAGACCTTGGGATTGCTGCCCACAGGGCCGCTGTAATCGAGGGGGTATTTCACAATCCCACAAAACACTTCCATACAGAACTACCTTCAGTTTGCAAGGATGAAGAAAATAATCGCCCCCCCCCCTCCCAAACCCCAGCTTTATTGTTGATCTTGGAAACAAGGAGTTACATCATGGCATCTCCAGTGAGTTACAGTGACCTTATGCTCTCCTTTTCTGTGCCTGATTCTGCCTTGGTCTAACTCGGCGGCAACACTAACTTCTCCTGGGATGTCAGTGCTGGTCCCTGTGCTGGACGAGGCTGAGTATTTCCCTGAAGTCGCAAACCTTGGGGAAAGGGCTTCTGCAGGTCGAACCAGCCCACTTCTCGCGAGCCAGGTGGCCTTGAGCCATATCCCACTCTCTCATTTTCTCACCTGTGAAATGATGTTAATAAAACCACCCACAATTAGGAATAAGAATCAACATTATCCAGTGCTTTATTGGGCTTACTACTCGATAAACTCATCTGGTCTTCCTAGTAAGCCTGTGACTCATTGGCAAGCAGGGAATGGAAGCAAATTAGAGGTTAAGTGGTAGAATCTGGATCTGACCTCATGAAGTCAGCCTCCAGGGTTTATATTTTTAACCATGACCCACAATGTTTTTAAAGCACCTACTCTAATGCTCTCCCATGATATACCCCAGGAATATTAGCCGCTGCCATTGTTGCTACTCGTATTGTTATCGGCACTACTGTCAAAACAAGCCCGAATTAGGAAAGGAGAAGAGAAACACTTGTTACAAATCAGCACAGTTGTACCCCACCGGATGGTGCTTCAAACGGCGATCATCCTTTCGAAAGAAATGTGGGAAAATTCCACAAAAGCTATTAAGGGCTCCCACGCTTTGTTCCATCTGGATACCACTTCCGGGTGAGTTTGAGTTTGGAGGCACTTACGTGTAGGAACACATTCACTGTAGTGTTATTTCATGATCAGGACAATGAATCGCCACTGGCGTCCACTAAATGCCCAAGCAGGGGGGACTGGTTGAATGAATGTTTTTACGACATAAGACAATACAGCCATTGGCTAAAATCATGATTTAACCTTGTTGACCCCTTAGAATATTGTGCGTGAACACGCAAAAGAGCATGGTCATCATGCATGTGTAACGTACGTCTGTGCACAGAATTTGAAGGTGATAAAAAAAAACGAACCCAGGTAAGCTTGAGCAGAATATTCTTTTTCATTTTTCCGTAGTATTCATCCTTTCACTAGCAAATAAATGGGCAGAGGCTTTTCATATCTGCACACAAAGGAGAGCTCACAGAGAATGAACTATACTTTGATGCTTTTTTTTTTTTTAACACGCTATGCAAATTCTACTAAACCAAGGAAAGCAAACAAAACCTTGGGGCAATTTTGTGTAATAAGGACGGCCTGACCTTTTGTCCTCCCAGAATAGCCAAAGACTTGACTTTTACTCAACCAAAACCCCTATGTCTAAAGACAACAAATATCTGGGATCTGAACCCTAAGCTTCTTGTTGGTTTGTACACGTAGGGCAGGGAGAGACCGAGGGTCCCTGATGGGTAGGTGGCAACGTTAACAAGCAAGGGAGCTTACTTACGGAGCTTATCTTAGGCAGCTGCAAGACAGGGAGATCTCTGCACCGCCCCCCAGAATTCCGAAAGTTTACACAGAAGCCTTCGCAGGGCTCGATCAAGTGTACCATCCATTGGCCCAGCAACACATCGCTCTCTCAAAGCTGCATCCTTGAAAACAGCTCCCACTGTGGGAATGGTGGGCAGACCTTATCTTCCAAGGACGGGGAAGGCGTGAGGAACCTCTCTGATCGATTACCTGAATCCGGCTTCCGGGTCAACCGGAGGTCACGACCTGGCTCATGAACTCTCGATGACCCTCTCCAACACTTCCCCGTTGAACAAGCTTTGGGCAGTGTCGGAAGCCACAAGTAGGCTAGAGGAACAGAATCCACATTTCCCCAAGTGTGCAAAATGTTGGAACTGGGAGGGTAGACTCCAGATCCATCTCAACATAAGGGAAAGACACACAGAAACTAAAGAGATATAACTGATTAGGGTGACTACGAAACGTCCAGCTGAATCTGATAAAACCAACAATGTCAGCACACAACCTGATAGCATTTTGTGTTACCATACTATCCAGAGTTTGATTTCTGGATTTTTCAGTGGAAAGCAAGATCATTAGAAGCTAAGTGCTTTGGAACAGCATTCAAAAATAGCAAAGTGCTCTTAAGGGGCATTTATTAATTTGAAAGTCAATTTAACAGAAAGTTCATTGAGATATGAATATATGTCAGTTCCTACCCTGAGTGTTACAAATCTAGCAGTCAACAAGCTATTCCGGCATGAAAGAGACAGGTAATAGGCAATGTAAAACACAGGAGTAAAGTAATTTCAGTTAGAGAGAAGCAACATGAAGGCATAGAACAGGGTCACATATTAAAACGACACTGTCTAGGGGGGCCTGGGTGGCTCAGTCAGCGTCTGACTTTGGCTCAGGTCATGATCTCACAGTGCATGAGTTCGAATCCCACGTCGGGCTCTGTGCTGACAGCTGGGAGCCTGGAGCCTGCCTCAGATTCTGTGTCTCCCTCTCTCTGCCCCTCCCCCATCCATTTTCTCACTCTCTCTCTCTCTCAAAAAAAAAAATTAAAAATTAAAAAACAAACCTACACTGTCCAATTTGGAAGCCACTAGCCACATATGGCTATTTAAATTTAAATTAATAAAGATAAATAAAATAAAAAAAAAAATCTAGTTCTTTCATTGTGTTAGTCACATTCAAGAGCCCAGTACTGGTCACCGCCCTGGACAATGTGCCCCGGGTGTTCCTCCTTCTCAGGCTTTCAGGCCCGAACTGCAATCAGCACATTGGACTTTCCTGGATCTCAGGCCTTTCGACTTGGACTCAATTACACAACCAGCTTGCAGAACCAGCCTTGCAGAAGTCACGGGACTTCTCAGCCTCCTTAACTGTGTGAGCCAATTGCTTACAATAAATCCTTTTGTATAAAGATGTATGTGTATGTGTGTATATCTACCTATCTATCTCTTTATCTCTTTTATTTCTCTGGAGAACACGGACTAATACAGGCTTCCAGGGTATCTTTTCAGACTGTTAATTAATTTATGTCACCCCATAATGGACATCCCTCAGGAGTTTCTCATTCCTTTACTTAGACAAGTCTTTTTATCATCGGGCCCCAGCCCAGTTCTCCAAACTCATTTCATGTCCTAAGAGATGCCCTTTGTCCTTATTATCCAACTACGCAAATCTTTTTTCCGTTTTCCCAATTTACGCTGCTCCTTCTCAGCACAGGTACTTTCACACGTGATCCTCCCACCTGCTGTCCTTGGTCGACCCTATTTATCCTTCAGAGCTCAGATATCACTAGCAAAGAAGATCCTTCCCTGGTCCTCCAGACTAACTAGCCTGTCCCTGGTTTACAGTCCCGTCGTATGGTACCCTTCCTTTACGGCATTTCCCATTATATAGCATATTTATTTGTGTGACGACTCCATTAACGTCTGCCTCTCTGACTGGTCCCATGAAGGCAGAGGTGTGATGAATGTTCTTGACCATTAACGAATCCCCAAGGCTGAGACCCAATGTCTGCACATAACAGCCACCTGATTTAACACTGATGGCACAAAGCTGATTTAATACTGATTGCATGAAGAGGCAGTACCTCTTTAAGAGACTGGAGTCCAAAGTTTAGCCTCGGCTCTGGCCATCTGTCCTTTCTGTCCATCCCTGGCACGTACGAGCTGACAGTCGGTCCGAACTCCACGGACTGTCAGTCAGGTGACTCTTCGTGCAGTCTTAATCCATGAAATAAGAACCACAGTGGTAAATAATACCTAACTACATTAAATTAGTTACTTGCCTTTTAAAGAAGGGAACTAATGTTTATCTGGTGTCCAATGCACGTCTGGGCTTTTTATGCATTGTCTGATTTGGCTCAAAACAACCTGTAGAAACACCCACTGCAGCAAAACTCAGAGAAATATTAAGTACTGGTCTATAAGCAAAAGCTAGTTTGTGATCCAGCGGGATCCAAACTTAGGTCTGACTCTAAAATTCATGCTTTCTTCCACTCTGCCCTCATTTGCCAAATGGTCTTTCATGGGCTTCCTTTGTGTTTTTGTTTTATTTTCTTTACTGTGTTATTTGCTTCATAGTAAATAGCTTTACATTGCTATGTTTCATTGTTGCCTCATTCAAGGCAAAACTATCCATGAATTTAGGGATATGATAAGCTTATTATAAATTTTTTCCTGATAAACATGAAAATACATATGAAAACACTATAGGCTTAGGGGCACCTAGGTGGCTCAGTAGGTTGGGCGTCCGACTTCAGCTCAGGTCATGATCTCACGGTTCACGAGTCTGAGCCCCATGTCGGGCTCTGTGCTGACAGCTCAGAGCCTGGAACCTGCTTCAAAGTCTG